TATTGGGATATCCCATATGTTTGGGGACTTGACTAAGTAGTTGCCTTACCTGTTGTGATATGTATCTTTCATAATCTCTTGTATTTACTAGTTTAGATACGTTCTTCTGATATATAGTTGTAATCGTTCTCTTAGAAATATATACAAAAATCATTTCTCTATCTCTGTCTCTGATTCTTCAGAAAACCACTTCAGATCCGAATATGGATAAATGATTAAGATCATGACTCAAATCTTTCAGAATTAGCAAAGTAAATGCGCCAAAAAATTGAAGAGAATGGAGCTTTCAGCTGAAGTATAGCGATGAGAATGACAAAAAATGGATTTAATATTTCTCGAGCATAAAAACACTTCAAGACTTTCACTAAAAATACATTGAGTCAAAATTTTTTCTTTTATATTCACTTCTCATTTCATCAATACAAAGTCGATTCTTACAACACAAAAATCATTAGGCTAACATGACGAGAATTGAGACCCAAATTTCTTAAAACTCTATAACGAAATACAAATGCGGATTTTGCATCAAAGGAAACTTTTTTGACACAAAGATCTAACAATTTTATATAATCTCTCTCTTGGAGTTGTTTTATTTTTGATCGAATATATACTCATGTTTCTTTAGGATAGAACCTACGATATATGAAGTGTTAAGTACAATAAATATACGTTATATAAGAACTTAAAATATGATAGTTTAAAAAAAAAAAAAACTTAAAATATGATTAGCGAATTAAGATAAACTTCTTCTACGAAGTCCGATAGAGAGACGCCAAGTATCAAGGAGGCTATCCGGCAGAAGTCCGGCGAGAAACCATTGAAGGGAATGAGCCCAAAACGGCGAGCATCGTGATCCAATTCCGATCTGCTCCACCGCCGCTTTTGCGTAGACTTCCGGCGACGGTATAAAGAAGCTTGGTTTATCTATGGCTGCTACTTCTGACACCATCCTTGTTGCCACGTATAACGGCACCTGCCCATTTGTTTCACAAACGTACGTCTATTGTAAGATTATTTTCATTTACACAATATTAGTTATCTTTTTTTTTTTTGACGACAATGTTACTTATCGTCACAATATTACTTATCGAATAATAATTTTTTATATAAGTACTAGATTAAAGACTCGCATACATGCGGGTTTTGTAATTTAATCTCTTATAAACTTGTGAAAAACAAAAATTAATTATATAAAACAAAATTAGATCATCCGTTAAAGTTAAATGAAATCAAATAAAAATATTATTGTAAACCCACTAAATGTAAAACATAACATTTATTTATTAATTTTGATGTATCGATTAAAAAAAAGAAAAATAATGTTATTTGAATTAGAATTAGATTGAGAAATTTCAAAAAATACCACATTTCAAGTGGCAGTTTACAAAAATATCATGTTTTTGAAATCTTTACAAAAACGCCGTTTTTTCAAA